AAAAGACTGAAAATTTTGAAAACCTGTAAGTACAGGTATAGCCTATGTCCTCTATTTTTTTCTAATAGGAAATAAAGTATGATTACTCATTCAAAATTGGATTTTGGCAATATCATAATACAAAACGTATTTTATTTCGTGGCTGAAGTCAGGAAACCAATGACGCACAGATTTGTATGGAGAACAAAACAGAATGCTTGTATGTTATGTTGCATGGCCAAATCACAATGAGGAAAAGGTTGAGGAGTGAGGTATATGTAAAGTGAGTGCACGGTACACAATTTGACATTAGAGTATCAGTGTGAAAAAGTATGTTTAGATGTAAAGTTTAGAAATTCAGTTTATTTGAAACTGAAAACAGAATACAATCTAAATACAATCTAAAAAAAAAAAAAAATAGAAAAATAAAAAGGAAAAGAGCAATATATGTGACACTTTTTTTTTTTTTTTTCTTTTTTTTTTGAGGGCAAGACTTTTTGATTGCTGAACAGGGGCATAATATTCATACTAGCTTGGACAAGGAGTCCTATGCCATTGTCTGAGCTGTGAAGACCTCTTAATTATTATTATTATTATTATTATTTATTATTTTTTTTTAATAAACACTTTAAAAAACCACGTCATGTAGTGAGGACAGATTTTAAAGTCCTTTTACCTTTCAGCATTATGATTTTCACATTTTTCTAATGGGGAAAAAAATGATGTCATCGGAATTCTTCCTTTTGAAAGAAGAGGAAATGAGAAATGAAAGAATTAACTGGTTCCCTCTGGATGTTCTTGGAGGCAAATTTTGTAATACTTAAGAAAAAGTGCAAATGCAGTCACTTCTGTCACTGCAGTGACAGAAGCCAGAGAAATTGTGTTTCTGGAGCAGGAATACTCTGATCTATGCTAGACTGTTGATGGGGAAAATCGTGTTTTCTTTACCACAACCTACACAAAGAATGAGGCCATGATTTGTCTTTCTGATTTACATAATAAATTTAAGTTAACATTGGAATGATGGATTTGTTAGAGAACCGAATTTGTCCAGAATCTGTATCTGGACTACAGATGAGCATATCATTAACAATAAGCTCATCACATATTTGCTTGTCTTTTTAAATAACAAGATATAATCAGTGAAAATTGATAGCAAATACTAACATACCATTGGTTATGAAAAAAAAGTTATGAAAAAAAAAAAAGAATTTGTTTTGAATTCTTCCATTCAGTAAGATTTAAAGTAGATATTTTCTATTACTATTATTATTTTTTAAGTTTAATCTAACGATATTTAATCTAAATCTTGATCAGGATTTAGCAATTATGTAAATTAAGAATATATATTATGTCCTTACAAAAAGTTCAAAAAATAGATGTCAATACTTTGTCATTGCAAGAGGGTTTTTTATTTTATTTTTATTAAAAAAATCATCTGCCTTGTTAGGAAAGAAATGAAAATTCAGGTGTTCCTAATTAAAATAAAGTAACTGAATCTGTGTGCTACAGATACATATCAAATGTAGACATAATCAATACACAAGTTTTCTGTGGAGATGAGTAATTCTCTATATAAAAATGACCTTTCAACAAAAGTGGGACAGCATAAAAACCCAGCACAAAACATTAAATATCACTAAACTGCAAAATACACACTCAGATATATATAACAGTAAAATTTATTTTGGACTTTTCTGTCTGTTATGTCTTTTCCTATACCTCAACAGTAAATCATGGATAAATGCTGTGATTTCTTAGTCAATGAGTGATTCTCATTATAAGCAGTATTACCTAATATAAATAACATGATTTTGAGATATTTCACTTCTGTATTACTTTTAATTCTTTAGAAATAACAAATATATTTATAAGTGGTATTTGTAACATAATATTTTTACTTGTAATTGTAGCATATTGCTTGGGTTAGACTAAAATCCTTTTCAGACAATTTCTGTCTGTTAAGAAATTAAGTAAGTTTGGAGACAAAAGCTGAGCAGCTCCAGTTTATTTAATTTCTACAGCCATGGTGACTGGCAGTTCTAAATAAACACTATTAATAAATCATTAATCTGTAACTAAAGACTAGGCTTTCTCTGGAATATCTCTGAAATGTCTGGTTCAAGAAATCTTTCTGGAATGGCTATCACTGTGACAATTACATAAGTAGCAGAGAGCAGTGCTTGAGAACAGATATATTAAAGCATGAGAAAAACAGCAGCATATTGATTCTGAGACTGCAATAACCATCATTTTAATTACAATCAGAATTCAAAACTCCAAAATTCAGAAAGCTAAATAAAAAACAAATTAGCTGCTGATTCAATTTGGCAATGAATACCCCTGGCAGGAGAACCAGAAAATATCTGTACAAGCTATTGGGAATAAGAGATGGGGAAGAAAGTGAAAGCAATAAAAATGAGGAAGGAATCTGATGCATTTCCACCTTCCACCTCAGCCTCCAGGTTTCAAATGAGGCCTGAAATGTCATTCATGTAATTATGACCATATCAGGTTGAAAGCAATTTCAATTCAGCTGGCTTGATTAATGGCTGCAAAAAGAAGATAAGGAGCATTTATGGTAAAAGTAGTTGCTTGTAATAGCAGCAAATGAGGTCAACTTATTTGATAACCTAAAATTCTCTGATGGATCAGGTGTTTTTGTTTTGTTTTGTTTTCTTGATAAAGGTTAGCTCCAAATATGAGCCTAGCTAATTGAAGCTTTTCCTGTCAACTGTCACTTTTATTTTGTGGCAGTTTGAATAGTGTGAACTCTCTTTTTGAGAGAGTTTACTAAATCTTGAGGTGCTGTTGATGGAAAATATTAATAGCTGCTTTTCTTGTCTGTCAGCAGTCATTGTGAAGGACAACAGTTGGCTTACCTCCTCTTTTCTGGAAAGTGACAGTTGAGTAGGAATCTGCCTGCAACTGTAGTTCCAACAAGAGGGGGAAAAAAAACATGTCAGTTACTGTTCCAGCCATAGCCAGGAGTCTGAAAGGGCCTTGTTGTCACTACTGACCTGGCAGAAAACTAGTTAGCATTGCTGACAGGAGAGAGTCTGGGGCCACCTGCCTCTACAGAGCAGCTGTTTTCCTCACTTATTTTAGCATCTCAGCTAATCTCTCCTTCTATTGGAGAGATTTTTGCTTCTTTGCTTCTCTTTGCTTCTCTTAAAACATAAGACCCTATACATATAAGTTCTCTCCTTGTATTTGCTTTCTCAACTACAGCTAACATTTATGTAGAGCATGAATTTGCAAAAAAAAAACAAAAACAAAAAAAACCACTTTCTCTGCCTGATGGCCACCTGCATGTAGGCTATGGTCTCCTACATTTTGTTTTGTATAGCTCAGTTGAGCCTGTCTCTCCTTACGGTCAGTGGGTCTAAATAGATATAATAATAATATATATATATATATATTTTAGAAAATTCTCTGTAATTGTTTATGAACACTCTCTGTATCATAAATCATTGAGATTACCTGGATATTGGTCACATAATTTTGGATTGTCAGTAGAAACAGGCAAGAAGGGAAGCAAGTTAAAGACAAATCTTATCCAGGTAGTAAACAGGAACTGTTAAGGGAAAAACCTGAACCAAAAAGGAAAAAAAAAAAGTAGAAAATAATAATAATAATAAAAGGAAAATAAAAAATAAAAAAAAGAAAAAACAATGACTATAAATACATTTTTTTTTTTCTTCTCCACTCTCAAGTCATGAAGACAGGCTGGTCTGGAAAATCAGACTTTCTGAGCAAGGTACAGTGGTGATCCCCAGGAATATGATGTATTGCTTTTCTTCTGAAGCTTTCTTCCTACTTAGGTAAATAAGAACGAAGACTTGGAGGATACAGTACCCCTGCCATGGGGCAGTATCCCATGCCCTAGAATAACTGAGTTGTGAAATTTCACTACTAATTTTACAAAGCCAAATGTTCCCACTGTTTCTAAATCCAAGCCAGCCTGTGAGGACCTGTATGTGCCCTAATAATCTAAGAACTAGAAAACCAAGCAGGATAAATGATACTGAGCAGTATGACTAGGGGGAAAGATGAACAAAAGGAACACCAATATAAAAAGAAATATAAAGGAATTCAATACAGTGAGATTTCTTTCAACATACACACATCACAGATTTTTATGGTATATATATTTAAAAAATATATATTTTTTGTATTTGTTTATATATCTGTAATGAAATGTCAATGATGGAACACCTTTTTTAAGCTACATACATATAAAGAGGCAAAAATGAACTCTTTGAATCAACAGAATTACTATTTATTTCTGACCGTACACTACCTTTGCCACACTTACTCTTTACAATGATAATAATACCTACTGCCACAACAAAATCAAGTTATCAGTTCCATTTTATATTCTGTGATCTGAATAGTATACAGCGATCATTTCACTCCTTAGTTAATTTGTATGAAACAGCAAAGTAGTATTTATAAAACCATTCTGTCCCTAAACTCATTCATCAATAAATATATAAACAAAACACTTGACATGAATATGAAACACCTGCTCTCTAGTAGTGCTATTAGGTCAGGTGGAAATTAGAGAAATGCCAGTTCCACAGAGTGTGTTAGAAAGGTTAGACCTTTGTGCTCTTATGTTCATAATATTTCTACAAAAATAATGCAGTTGAAAAAAAAAAAAAAAGCTACTCATCCTATTTATTCTCCAACTAATTTTGGCAGATGAAAATGGAATTTATTGATTAAAAATTATCACAGTTAATAAATAGGTGAATGTGATAAAATTTTCACTGACTAACTTTTTTTATTTGTGAGAACACTACTTTTCATTTTGATGGAGTCTTTTAACTTAACTGAATTACTGTTCACGTAAATGGTTGGGCAGGGAATTCTTAAGTGGCTACTTAGTCAATTGGTTACTCTGAGTATGCAGTAAGGGCTGTGTGAAAATGAAATCCAGCAAAATAATGAAGTAACAAATTAGGCATGTCACATCTTAGACAATGATGTCTAATTATAAAAGAATCTGGACTTACTTGCCAAGCGCAAAACACTCCATCTTAACGGTAGTTCCTTTTGCTGCTGTAACTGTGTAAGGAAAATGAACTTCAATTTTTGGTTCATATTCCCCCATCACACCTGGAAAATAAGGAACGTTTAAAATATGAAATATCACCACTCTTCCATACATGAGATTATCACAGAACAAACCATGTGGATTGCTTTTTAAACCTGCCCAGCAGTAAAGCTAGTAATTGATGGAGATAGCCTTGGTTCATCTGATTTGCTCTACTCAGATCCAGTACATATTTTAAAATGCTCTTCAGGGCTACCAGCAGCACTACAGCAAGTTTAAGAAAAAAAAATATTTCTCAAACACAGGTCCATATTTACATTTTGAAAGATTTAAGAAGGATGAGAATTTTCCTAGACCAAATATTTATTTATCAGTGCAGTGACAATTATAATTATAATTATAATAAAAAATACACATATGTTCTGTTCAACTGAGGACCTTCCAAGATCAGCAAGAAAAACTCAACATTTGTGTGCACAGATGCAAATACAGATATGTAGAAACACAAAAAGTTCAGTTATTTAGTTATTTAATTTTCAACAGTCATTTTAATATGGAAAATGGTTAATTTAATCAAGACAACATGCTTGGTACACAATGAGAAAAACAGTCAGGGATGTGGAAAATATAAACAATGCCATCAACAACGTTATGAAGAATTTGCTGTGGAGTGATTGACATTTTGGAGAGCTGCAAGAGTTTAGAAAATTAGAAATGAGTGGGGGAAGGAGGCAGGTTATGAAAGGTGAGATGAGAGGTTTTTATTTGATATGTCTTAGAGAGAGGAAGTATCATGGTGTGAAAGGGAGGAAAAGAATATATGATGCCAACAACTCTGTTCTGTTAGACACGTCGGGCTATTGGGGTAAGCAGTACTCAGCAGCTACATTAAAGAAAGTGTATTATTCAGAAGATGAAAAATGAGCTGTGGATACACTGGCAGCAAGACAAATCTAATCTAAATCTAAAAAATTCAGTCAAGATTCTCCAAATAATTCCAGAGCCAGCGACTTAAAGAGAAAAAGAAAAGGATAAGAGATATCTTATGCAAGAGAAAATAAAGAAATAAGTAGGAACATGGAAATAAGGGAATATAAGATTTACAGCTGAGAGAACACCAGCATGCAGAGACAGAAAGAAAATCAACCTATAAATTGCGGGAATAAAAATCATATATATAAAAGGCTGAACGGTAAACAGCTTTGCCTTTTTTCATAGAAAAAATAAAATGTTTATTTCGGGATGAGAATGCATACACATCTAAACATACATGTCTTTAGGGGCTAAAGTTTACTGAGAAAATCTAAATGTGTCAAATCAAAAGAATGTTATTCTGTAAATAATGTGTCTGTATGTAGCAGTAGATTTCTTTAAAATAAAAATCATAGCTATGCAAGTAATATATATACTAACAATTGTAACATGTGCGACCTATTTTTCCTCAAAATCATGACCAAATCAATGTTTTGACATTGTTTCATGAACTCCTTGAGAAATACTGACTGAAATACCGACCCTTGAATGAAAAGGCACATTCTGAATCAGTTCTATCATTTAAGCTTAAAAGGTTTTGCTTTTTGCTTTTGCAGGAAAAAAAAATAATAAAAAATTAATCTTTGTGTCCTGGGTATTCAAATAGTCAGGACATCACCCGAATTTAGTCAATTAACATTTTCCCTAGCCTAAATTGAAATAATTCCTAGCCTAATCTGTCATAAAAGAACGTCCCCAGTGGCTCATACTATGTTGATAAATTTCATAATTTAATTATGCTCCTTGTGACTTCTTTTACTGTTTCCTGACTTTGTGAGTACATTTATGAACACCAGTTTCTGATTCATCTCATTTGAGTCATTTGTGAATTTATAAGATATTTGTCATATTCCCTGTTAGTTGTGTCTTTTGCAGACTGAAAGATTCAGTCTTGAATTTTATTTTAAAAATATTATTTTTTAATAAAAAGATTATTAATCCTTCCTCACACAGAATCTTTAGTAAACTTGAAATCATTCCTAGTGACCATGTTATGACATTTCAAATTACCTGATACTTTGAGATGGGAAGTGAAAACAACATGCCGATATGGAAGCTGAGGATCTTTATATCACAGATTTTTCTTGTTTTGTTCGTTGTGTTAAAACAAGTCCATAGGAGGGCCATGAAGATGATCAGGGAGCTGGAGCACCTCTCCCATAAAGACAGGCTGAGGGAATTGGGGATGTTCATCCTGGAGAAGAGAAGGCTCCAGGGAGACCTTACAGTGGACTTCTAGTATCTAAAAGGGGCCTACAAGAAAGCAGGAGAGGAACTCTGTCAGGGATTGTAGAGATAGGACAAAGACTAATGGTTTTAAACTAAAAGAGGGTAGATTTAGATTAGACAAATAAAAGTTCTTTATTGTGAGGGTGGTGAGGCCCTGTCACAGATTCCCAAGAGAAGCTGTGGATGCCCCATCCCTTGGAAGTGTTCAAGGCCATGTTGAATGGGGCTTTGAGCAACCTGGTCTAGTAGGAGGTGTCCCTGCCCATGGCTTAGGGATAGAATTAGGTGACTTTTAAGGTCTTTTCCAACCCAAACCATTAGCTGATTCTCCTATTCACCGATTCATATTGTCCCTGACTCTTCAGGAATGTTTTATAGAAAGTGAGGTTGTATATTAAAATAAAAGCCATCTTTTATTTTATTTTTAAAAAGCCCTCTTTAAAAGCCACGTTCATGGTATATGGATATATGGTAAGATATATGGTAACCGTATGGTTATGTGATACACAGGATCATACCTACTGGTATTATTTAACATCTTTGGTGGTGACATGAACAGTTGGATTGTGTGCACCCTCAGCAAATTTGCCGATGACACGAAGCTGAGCAGCATGGTCACATGCTGGAGGGAAGAGATACCTGGATAGGTTTGAGAGGTGAGCTCATGACAACTTCATGAGGTTCAACAAGGCCAACTGCAAGGTCCTGCACCTGGGTCAGTGGAATCCTGAGCACAAACACAGTCTAGATGATGACAACAACCTTCCATTACTTAAAGGAAGCCAACAGGAAAGGTGCGGAGAGACTCTTTGTCAGGGGGTGTAATCATTGGTCAAGAGGAAACAGTTTTAAACTAAGAGGGTAAGTTTAGATAGGGTATAAGGAAGGAATTCTTCACTCAGAAGGTGGTGAGGCACTGGAACAGGTTGCCCAGGGAAGCAGTGGATGCCCCATCCCTGGAATTGTTCAAGGCCAGATTGGCTGGGGCTTTGAGCAACCTGGTCTAGTAGGAGGTGTTCCTGTCTATGGCAGGGGGGTTGGAAGTAGATAATCTTTAAACTCTCTTCCAACTCAAACCATTTTATGATTCTATGATTCTACTAATTGCATTTTTAATGTATTTTCTGTCAAGACATTTCCTATAAAATTCAGGCTTACTTACTCCTTGGATACTTCTAAAGTCCTATTTAAAAAAATGCATTTTATTTCATTGAATCATTGAGTTTCATTGAATTTCTACCTGCCCATCCTCTAAATTTGAAGCCAAGCGAAGGAAAATGGTGATTCCTGGTTCCTTTAAAACTACTGTATGTGTTTAGTCATGGTAATTTATTATTATTTGTAATGTCTATATTTCATGTAAAATTTCTTCTGTTGAAACTTCAGTTATGGAAACCTCAAGGTCTTTTGTAAACACTGTTGAAAATAATTCATTTAGCATGAATAATATAGCCTTATACTCTTTTAAAGGAGTTTCCTCAGTTCCCTTTAAGCCTCTGCCACTCTGCCAACTGTTAACTGTACAGACTCACTCAGATGTTTTATGCTTTGATTATTATTTTTTTTTAACTGTGCTTTAATGTAAGACTATTCCTAAAAACAATTTTGTTAAATTGTCATATGGAATTAAATATTTGCCTTTTTTATCCCTGAAAAATTCATCTTAAAATAGAATTAAATTATTCATGCCCTTAAAATAATACAATGCTTATGAACACATCTAAAGGACAGTATTATGTTTCAGTTCTTATGTTTTTAATGTAACTCCCTTTAGTAGGTACAATCTATACAACTACTGAATGCTCTTTGCAAATCATGTAATCATTTCATATTCCTAATGAAATGATCTGCTAATATTTTGTACCATATACTGTTCTTCTGGGTTATTGTTACATTAGCAAGCAATATGCCTGCAGCAACTGGCAAAAGAATGCAGAAAAACTACTAAGTGATTGCATGGTGTCCCCATGTTATCAATGCTCCTTGTGAAAATTAGGAAACAAAAGTTTATTATTGCAAAGGGATATTTTTCATCTTATGATTGAAGTTTCATCTTATTTCAAAGAACTTATGATCTTTGAGACCAAGGAGGACATTACATTTGCATAGACTTTAAAGGAATAATCAAGGTCTTACCTTCCCATGTTACATTATAATTGCTTTGCTATGACTAGTGTACCTCCAGGCTCTTGAACTTTCCCAAATTCTGTTTTGGTCACTATCAGTCAGTAATAGCAAAATAACCCTTGTGTGCTTTTTCTCAAGATTTTTGTTCATTTGCATCAGGTGTTAAAAAGAACCCAAACTTTCAAGAAATATTGAGGCCTTGAGCTATGTACATTAGAATCAATCTCTCAGAGGTACACATGACTCTCTTTCATCGTTTGGTTAAGGCCATAAAAAATTCCGTTAGACATTTTTTTATTTCCAGTTATTAAGCATGAAATACAGCAATAAATAAAACTGATCAGCAGAATAAAAACATAATATATGATTTTCAAAATCCTAACAAATCACAGAGATCACATGGTCTGAGCACAACAGAGGAACAGGGAGCTGTTCTCATGTTCCCATGTCTGCCCTTCCCATGAAAACACCTCCTTTGTGACAATCTTCCATTTCTTGCCTTCCCAGAAGTGACCTCAGTGATTCATTCTTCCTTAGACTGGATAGTTTACAAGTAAATCTTATCCCTGGTCTTCATTTGGAGACAAGTCATCTTCCCTGGCATTTTCCAGTCTCCAGGTTTCTGCCTTGTCAGTGTGCATGGGAATGAGAGCACTCTATATTGCTGTCCAGC